GGAAGATCATACGCAAACCAGTCAAGAAGACATACCTGCAAGCTTGGAACAAAACTCAAGCTTGCTTCCGGGAACCACCTTTGTCAACATATCAGCACCGTTCTTGTTTGTGTGAATCTTCTTCAACTTCATTAGTTGCTTTTCAATGATATCACGCAACCAATGATACCTCACATCAATATGCTTTGTGCGAGCATGATACATGGTGTTTTTGCTCAAGTCTATAGCACTTTGACTATCGCAAAACACAACATACTCACCTTGCTTCAATCCCAACTCTTGAAGAAAACGCTTCAACCAAATCATCTCTTTGCCCGCTTCCACTGCTGCTATATACTCTGCCTCAATTGTTGACAAAGCTACACACTTTTGTAGCTTGGATTGCCATGAAATGGCTCCCCCTGCAAATGTAAACAAGTAACCTGAGGTAGACTTTCTGTTATCAAGATCTCCAACCATGTCAGCATCTGTAAATCCCTCAAGAATAGGCTCGCCGCCTCCAAAACACAAACTCAGTTTTGAGGTGCCCCGCAAATATCTCAAGATCCACTTTACAGCTTCCCAGTGAATCTTGCCTGGATTAGCTAAGAATCTGCTAACCAATCCAACAGCATGTGCTATATCTGGCCTTGTACACACCATAGCGTACGTCAATGAACCAACAGCAGAAGAATAAGGAATATGAGACATGTTTTCCTTCTCTTTCTCAAAACTAGGACAAGAACGCTTGCTCAACTTGAAATGACCGGAAAGTGGTGTATTAACCGGCTTGGCATTCTTCATATTGAACCTTTCAAGCACCCGTTCAATATACTTCTCTTGTGACAACCAAAGCTTACCAGCTTTTCTATCACGAACAATTTCCATGCCAAGAATTTGCTTTGCAGGACCCAAATCTTTCATTTCAAAGGACTTTGACATATCCTCTTTTAACCTGCGAATCATCTCAACATCTTGTCCCACTATCAACATATCATCAACATAGAAACAAAGGATAATGAAGTTATCATCAGAGAACTTTCTAAAATACACACAAGGATCGGCAGTAGTACGCCTGTACCCATTACCACTCATGAAGGAATCAAACTTACGGTACCACTGCCTTGGTGCTTGCTTAAGCCCATAAAGACTCTTTTTCAGCTTGCAAACAAAATTCTCTTTTCCTTTAACTTCAAATCCTTCCGGCTGCTCCATGTAAATTTCATCATCCAAATCACCATGTAAAAATGCAGTTTTTACATCAAGCTGCTCAAGCTCAAGATCCAAACAAGCCGCTAGTCCCAAAATCATGCGAATGGAAGTCATCTTCACCACTGGTGCAAAAATTTCATCGTA